CCTGTGATCATGTTCCTCTTTGGTGGTTCCCCATACCAATATGTCGTCAACTATGGCTTCTGTCCCTTCAAGGTCTGATACCATTTCTGTTATTACCCGTTGAAATACTTCGGGTGCTGACTTGACTCCAAAGGGTAGCCAGAATCCTGAAGTAAGATCTAATTTACTGAAAATCTTAGCTCCGGGCATCTTTGAAACCACCTCCTCAGTAGTTTTGAGTGGAAAATGTTCTCGCTGTATAGCTCTATTCAGGTCACATGGGTCAATACATAACCTCAGTTTCCCATTTGGTTTCAGGACTGTCACAAGGGAGTTAACCCATTCAGTGGGTTCTTCCTGCTTTACTCTAACTCTCAGGTTCTCCATGCGGTCCAGTTCATCTTTGGCTTTATCTCTGAGTGATATAGGTACTCTCCTTGGGGGGTGTACCACTGGTGTAACGGATTTATCCATTTAATGAGACCTGGTTCCTGGCAGTTCATGTTGCCTAGTTAGGTTTTCCTTGTTCTCTAATTGTACATTTCCATTTTGGGACAGATCAAAAAAATAAAATGATCAACATACAACCATCTTGGATTTTAACAATCATAGTTTGTTATTGTTATTACTCAACAAGTTCAGGATCATTTTGAAATGTTTTTGATTTATACAATGTGTGTCAGCCATGTTGGGACTGAAAACAACAGCCTGGCCAACAGCCAAAAGTCATTGATTATGATACCATTTTCATACTTTGATATCGCTATTTCTTACTTGGAGGATCTTTATACTTTGATATCGCTATTTCTTACTTGGAGGATCTTTATACTTTGATATCGCTATTTCTTACTTGGAGGATCTTTATACTTTGATATTTCTTACTTGGAGGATCTTTATACTTTGATATTTCTTACTTGGAGGATCTTTATACTTTGATATTTCTTACTTGGAGGATCTTTATACTTTGATATTTCTTACTTGGAGGATCTTTATACTTTGATATTTCTCACTTGGAGGATCTTTATACTTTGATATTTCTCACTTGGAGGATCTTTATACTTTGATATCGTTATTTCTCACTTGGAGGATCTTTATACTTTGATATTTCTTACTTGGAGGATCTTTATACTTTGATATTTCTTACTTGGAGGATCTTTATACTTTGATATTTCTCACTTGGAGGATCTTTATACTTACTTGGAGGATCTTTATACTTTGATATTTCTCACTTGGAGGATCTTTATACTTTGATATTTCTTACTTGGAGGATCTTTATACTTTGATATCGCTATTTCTTACTTGGAGGATCTTTATACTTTGATATCGCTATTTCTTACTTGGAGGATCTTTATACTTTGATATTTCTTACTTGGAGGATCTTTATACTTTGATATTTCTTACTTGGAGGATCTTTATACTTTGATATTTCTCACTTGGAGGATCTTTATACTTTGATATTTCTTACTTGGAGGATCTTTATACTTTGATATTTCTCACTTGGAGGATCTTTATACTTTGATATTTCTTACTTGGAGGATCTTTATACTTTGATATCGCTATTTCTTACTTGGAGGATCTTTATACTTTGATATTTCTTACTTGGAGGATCTTTATACTTTGATATTTTTCTTACTTGGAGGATCTTTATACTTTGATATTTCTATACTTTGATATTTCTTACTTGGAGGATCTTTATACTTTGATATTTCTTACTTGGAGGATCTTTATACTTTGATATTTCTTACTTGGAGGATCTTTATACTTTGATATTTCTTACTTGGAGGATCTTTATACTTTGATATACTTTGATTTTTCTTACTTGGAGGATCTTTATACTTTGATATTTCTTACTTGGAGGATCTTTATACTTTGATATTTCTTACTTTCTTTATACTTTGATATTTCTTACTTGGAGGATCTTTATACTTTGATATCTTTATACTTTGATATTTCTTACTTGGAGGATCTTTATACTTTGATATTTCTTACTTGGAGGATCTTTATACTTTGATATTTCTGGAGGATCTTTATACTTTGATATTTCTTACTTGGAGGATCTTTATACTTTGATATTTCTTACTTGGAGGATCTTTATACTTTGATATTTCTTACTTGGAGGATCTTTATACTTTGATATTTCTTACTTGGAGGATCTTTATACTTTGATATTTCTTACTTGGAGGATCTTTATTCTTTGATATTTCTTACTTGGAGGATCTTTATACTTTGATATTTCTTACTTGGAGGATCTTTATACTTTGATATTTCTTACTTGGAGGATCTTTATACTTTGATATTTCTCTACTTGGAGGATCTTTATACTTTGATATTTCTTACTTGGAGGATCTTTATACTTTGATATTTCTTACTTGGAGGATCTTTATACTTTGATATTTCTTACTTGGAGGATCTTTATACTTTGATATTTCTTACTTGGAGGATCTTTATACTTTGATATTTCTTTGATATTTCTTGGAGGATCTTTATACTTTGATATTTCTTACTTGGAGGATCTTTATACTTTGATATTTCTTACTTGGAGGATCTTTATACTTTGATATTTCTCACTTGGAGGATCTTTATACTTTGATATTTCTTACTTGGAGGATCTTTATACTTTGATATTTCTTACTTGGAGGATCTTTATACTTTGATATTTCTTACTTGGAGGATCTTTATACTTTGATATTTCTTACTTGGAGGATCTTTATACTTTGATATTTCAAACTTGGAGGATCTTTATACTTTGATATATTTCTTACTTGGAGGATCTTTATACTTTGATATTTCTTACTTGGAGGATCTTTATACTTTGATATTTCTTACTTGGAGGATCTTTATACTTTGATATTTTCTTACTTGGAGGATCTTTATACTTTGATATTTCTTACTTGGAGGATCTTTATACTTTGATATTTCTTACTAGGAGGATCTTTATACTTTGATATTTCTTACTAGGAGGATCTTTATACTTTGATATTTCTTACTTGGAGGATCTTTATACTTTGATATTTCTTACTTGGAGGATCTTTATACTTTGATATTTCTTACTTGGAGGATATTTATACTTTGATATTTCTTACTTGGAGGATCTTTATACTTTGATATTTCTTTGATATTTCTTTTACTTGGAGGATCTTTATACTTTGATATTTCTCACTTGGAAGACCTTTATACTTTGATATTTCTTACTAGGAGGATCTTTATACTTTGATATTTCTTACTTGGAGGATCTTTATACTTTGATATTTCTTACTTGGAGGATCTTTATACTTTGATATTTCTTTTGGAGGATCTTTATACTTTGATATTTCTTACTTGAGGATCTTTATACTTTGATATTTCTTACTTGGAGGATCTTTATACTTTGATATTTTTCTTACTTGGAGGATCTTTATACTTTGATATTTCTTACTTGGAAGATCTTTATACTTTGATATTTCTTACTTGGAGGATCTTTATACTTTGATATTTCTTACTTGGAGGATCTTTATACTTTGATATCGCTTCTTACTTGGAGGATCTTTATACTTTGATATTTCTTACTTGGAGGATCTTTATACTTTGATATTTCTTACTTGGAGGATCTTTATACTTTGATATCGCTATTTCTTACTTGGAGGATCTTTATACTTTGATATTTCTTACTTGGAGGATCTTTATACTTTGATATTTCTTACTTGGAGGATCTTTATACTTTGATATTTCTCACTTAGAGGATCTTTATACTTTGATATTTCTTACTTGGAGGATCTTTATACTTTGATATTTCTTACTTGGAGGATCTTTATACTTTGATATCGCTATTTCTTACTAGGAGGATCTTTATACTTTGATATCGTTATTTCTTACTTGGAGGATCTTTATACTTTGATATCGCTATTTCTTACTTGGAGGATCTTTATACTTTGATATTTCTCACTTGGAGGATCTTTATACTTTGATATTTCTTACTTGGAGGATCTTTATACTTTGATATTTCTTACTTGGAGGATCTTTATACTTTGATATTTCTTACTTGGAGGATCTTTATACTTTGATATCGTTATTTCTTACTTGGAGGATCTTTATACTTTGATATCGTTATTTCTTACTTGGAGGATCTTTATACTTTGATATCGTTATTTCTTACTTGGAGGATCTTTATACTTTGATATTTCTTACTTGGAGGATCTTTATACTTTGATATTTCTTACTTGGAGGATCTTTATACTTTGATATCGCTATTTCTTACTTGGAGGATCTTTATACTTTGATATTTCTCACTTGGAAGACCTTTATACTTTGATATTTCTTACTAGGAGGATCTTTATACTCTGATATTTCTTACTTGGAGGATCTTTATACTTTGATATTTCTTACTAGGAGTATCTTTATACTTTGATATCGTTATTTCTTACTTGGAAGGTCTTTGTCTTGATGAATCTCGGTTAGCGATTTTTTTTCCAATGCTCAGTGTTATATAAAATTTTATAAGGAAAAAGGAAATGACTGGCAGACGGCCATATTCGATTAAATTTGTTATCGTTATTTTTCTCAGTACTTGTTGGATTGTTATCAGATTTCTTTTAAGAAGTTCCCCATGGTTTTTATATTTAGAAGTGCAGATGGCCTGTGGTTGGCACTCGCAAATTGTTGAATTCCTTCCTCAGGATTTTAAAAAAAATCTGATTAAGTTTCTGGTGTTCACCAGTGTTATTATATAATGGTTCACCTGTCTATATTGATACAAAAATAATTATGATCAAGAGCAAATAAGAGGACTGAGGAGAAAAAAAAAAGAGAAAAGATCTTTTGTGGGTGGGTGACAAGATTGCTCTGTGGTCTCTAGTTAGATAATGCAAACCTCCAAAAGAGATGTTCTCTGATTGGTCAATATTGAATGACCTATGCAAATTAGAAATATTTTCAGATTGGTAATTTGAAGGGTCTTTAGGTTTATAACTGGGGTCTTTGCACAGGTGTGTTATAACAAAGTGGAATGATGAGTTTTTTAAAATGGATTTATTTTATTTTTACAGCAATAAGGAATGCTGTCTCTGCATTGAATATTATCTACCAAGACTTAGAATGGGATATTCCAGTGTACCAGTTTGAAAGACAATGTTCAGAGTCCACCGATAAGTTTGTTTGTAAGGTGAAAAACACATTTTTCTTTTATACATTGATCGTTGTATTGGTGGACAGTCAAATCAAATAAAATGTCTTTTTTGGGATAGTTCAAATTTTCATGATGAAACCAAAACCTTGAAGCAAAACAGTGAAATTTTGCAGAAACCTTCCCTGGTCTAAGATGAACCAAATTTATGAATTATACAGTCCCCACACCCAGGGGCCTGAGAGGCAGGTCGAAAGGAGTCAAATTGACTCAGGTTTCAAAAGTCTTCTTCTCAAGACCCAGATCTGGTAGTATCTTCATGAGTGGAAGCATCTTAGGGTGCTTTACCAAAATTTTGAATTTCATGGCCCAAGGGTCTCGCATTTCCCCATGGGGAGGGGATAAATTTTATTAGTTTTTTTATATCGGAAAACTAGAATTTTGAACATAATTTATCTAATTTTCATTTGAAATATTTCAAATGTTGTTATAGTAATAATTGAAGGATGATGGCAAGATGGTTTGCCCATATGCATCCTGGCTGATCCAGGGACATATGGGCAGAGCCAGAAAGTGCCAAGTTGAATTAAATTTAAAAAATCAAAAAATCAAAAGATTCAAATGCTCTTCATGAATGGAAGCATCTTAAGGTGCTTTAATTACCACTTTATAAAAAATCTTTAAAATCTTTTATTTCACATTTCTTCTTGGGGAGGCATATTTGTTAGACCTTACTGCAATTTTCATAAAAGTATTGCCTTTTTTAGCATAAGGTTGGTTATTTCCCAATGGAACTAACTTTATAAGAATTATCAGTATAGGATGACAATTTTGATGGTATGCATGTATGGACACTGTCTATATTCAGTGTCACAATTTCTGTTTCATGACACTTGATAACTATCCTTTAACCTTTATATCCAATATTGCTTATCTGAGGTGACTGTCAAGGCCACTAGGCCTCCTATCCAATTTGGTCTGAAGCATCCTTAGGTGAACGGAAATCAATTTTGTATAAACAGTGGGTCTGACACCCACACCTTTATGGCAGAGAAGTGGGCCCAATAGGGGATATATTGTAAATTTTTTCTGATGCTTTGACTTCTGTAGGAATAACAAGATTTTGTCCAGATTTGGTTGTAAACATTGTTTAGTTAAGAAAACTAGATCTGCCCACCTTTGGGGTAGAAGGGCAAGGCCAGTACTTTTTGTTAAAATGAAGGTATTTATTTTTATCATTTCCTGATATAAATATTGGGTATTTATATCAACAATACATGTCTTTTTGAACAGACCCTTACAATCATTGAAATTGAAAATATATCAACTGTGATATTGATATGTCTTTAGGTATTAGGTGATGTTGTCTATTGATTGTGTGTATCATGTTTTGCAGCTTATGGTCGATGGTAGAGACTATCAGTCAGAAGCCGTTTCCAGTAAAACTGAGGCCAAGGAAGCAGCAGCACAGTCCTTTTTTACATATCATCAGAGATCCGAGAGTGATACCTATGAGGATGTTATAAAACATTTAATCCAAACAGGAAACAAAATAAGGAGACAAGATCAAATACGTAAGTAGTTTGTTAGTTCAGCTGGCCTTGTTAGTTCAGCTGGCCTAGTTAGTTCAGCTGGCCTTGTTAGTTCAGCTGGCCTAGTTAGTTCAGCTGCCCTTGTTAGTTCAGCTGGCCTAGTTAGTTCAGCTGGCCTTGTTAGTTCAGCTGGCCTAGTTAGTTCAGCTGGCCTAGTTAGTTCAGCTGGCCTTGTTAGTTCAGCTGGCCTAGTTAGTTCAGCTGGCCTTGTTAGTTCAGCTGGCCTAGTTAGTTCAGCTGCCCTTGTTAGTTCAGCTGGCCTAGTTAGTTCAGCTGGCCTTGTTAGTTCAGCTGGCCTAGTTAGTTCAGCTGGCCTAGTTAGTTCAGCTGGCCTTGTTAGTTCAGCTGGCCTTGTTAGTTCAGCTGGCCTCTAGTACCAAACAATCTCATTCTTTCTATCAGGGACTGCAAAATCTCAGTCAGTAGAATTCAGGTAAAGGTGCAAGGGATGACTCCCTACCCAACGCAGTTTGTGTTTCGTTGGAACCTTAGTATCTGATTGGTCTGTGTTGTCATGGCTGCATCCTTGGACTTTACCCTAATTGCTCTGAAGGGCAAGTGATGTGTCTCTCATATGTTATTAAGTGAAGTAGACACCAGCTTTTATATTGAGATTGCATCTCAAAATAATGCTGGCAGTTCTTTGAGCAATAAAACCAGCTAACTATGTAACGGTATCAGCTATAGTTGTGTTTATTTTTACAGTTTTACACACACCTAGACAATGAATATGCAAGATTGTGATTGGCTGAATACTTCCCATAGAATAATCTATGGGAAATTGATTGATAATGACTGACAGTAATGTAGATTACATACACGTATTAAGAAGTCTTTTTAAGTGTGCCACACTAAAACTCCACCATAGCTAGCATGCTGTTCAGAATATGGTAGACATCAATTCTGCAGGTTTCCTCGTCATTAACTTGCTTTAGTAATTCTTCCTTTCCAGACTTTGGTGAACAATTCCCTGAACAATTCCTGCACCAATCTTGTGTAAAACGTGGGTGGCAGGCACCAGTATATGAGCTTGTCAGTGAGAATGATTCCCCTGGTTATGACCAGTTCATATATAAGGTAGGTAATCTGGATAATGTAGTGTTATGTAAGTACTCTGATTGATGTAGTGTTATGTAAGTACTAATATTGATGTAGTGTTATGTAAGTACTCTCATTGATGTAGTGTTATGTAAGTACCTCTGATTGATGTAGTGTTATGTAAGTACTCTGATTGATGTAGTGTTATGTAAGTACTCTGATTGATGTAGTGTTATGTAAGTACTAATATTGATGTAGTGTTATGTAAGTACTCTCATTGATGTAGTGTTATGTAAGTACCTCTGATTGATGTAGTGTTATGTAAGTACTCTGATTGATGTAGTGTTATGTAAGTACTAATATTGATGTAATGTTATGTAAGTACTAATATTGATGTAGTGTGATGTAAGTTCTAATATTGATGTAGTGTTATGTAAGTACTAATATTGATGTAGTGTTATGTAAGTACTCTCATTGATGTAGTGTTATGTAAGTACCTCTGATTGATGTAGTGTTATGTAAGTACTAATATTGATGTAGTGTTATGTAAGTACTCTGATTGATGTAGTGTTATGTAAGTACTCTCATTGATGTAGTGTTATGTAAGTACCTCTGATTGATGTAGTGTTATGTAAGTACTAATATTGATGTAGTGTTATGTAAGTACTCTCATTGATGTAGTGTTATGTAAGTACCTCTGATTGATGTAGTGTTATGTAAGTACTCTGATTGATGTAGTGTTATGTAAGTACTAATATTGATGTAGTGTTATGTAAGTACTAATATTGATGTAGTGTTATGTAAGTACTCTGATTGATGTAGTGTTATGTAAGTACTAATATTGATGTAGTGTTATGTAAGTACTAATATTGATGTAGTGTTATGTAAGTACTCTCTTTGATGTAGTGTTATGTAAGTACCTCTGATTGATGTAGTGTTATGTAAGTACTCTCATTGATGTAGTGTTATGTAAGTACTCTGATTGATGTAGTGTTATGTAAGTACTCTCATTGATGTAGTGTTATGTAAGTACCTCTGATTGATGTAGTGTTATGTAAGTATTCTGATTGATGTAGTGTTATGTAAGTACTCTGATTGATGTAGTGTTATGTAAGTACTCTGATTGATGTAGTGTTATGTAAGTACTAATATTGATGTAATGTTATGTAAGTACTAATATTGATGTAGTGTTATGTAAGTACTCTGATTGATGTAGTGTTACGTAAGTACTCTGATTGATGTAGTGTTACGTAAGTACTCTGATTGATGTAGTGTTATGTAAGTACTAATATTGATGTAGTGTTACGTAAGTACTCTGATTGATGTAGTGTTATGTAAGTACTCTGATTGATGTAGTGTTATGTAAGTACTCTGATTGATGTAGTGTTATGTAAGTACTCTGATTGATGTAGTGTTATGTAAGTACTCTGATTGATGTAGTGTTATGTAAGTACCTCTGATTGATGTAGTGTTATGTAAGTACCTCTGATTGATGTAGTGTTATGTAAGTACTAATATTGATGTCGTGTTATTTAAGTACTAATATTGATGTAGTGTTATGTAAGTACTAATATTGATGTAGTGTTACGTAAGTACTAATATTGATGTAGTGTTATGTAAGTACTAATATTGATGTAGTGTTATGTAAGTACTCTGATTGATGTAGTGTGATGTAAGTACTAATATTGATGTAGTGTTATGTAAGTACTAATATTGATGTAATGTTATGTAAGTACTCTGATTGATGTAGTGTTATGTAAGTACTCTGATTGATGTAATGTTATGTAAGTACTCTGATTGATGTAGTGTTATGTAAGTATTCTTATTGATGTCGTGTTATGTAAGTACTCTGATTGATGTAGTGTTACGTAAGTACTAATATTGATGTAGTGTTATGTAAGTACTAATATTGATGTAATGTTATGTAAGTACTCTGATTGATGTAGTGTTATGTAAGTACTCTGATTGATGTAGTGTTATGTAAGTACTCTGATTGATGTAGTGTTATGTAAGTACTGTGATTGATGTAGTGTTATGTAAGTATTCTTATTGATGTCGTGTTATTTAAGTACTAATATTGATGTAGTGTTATGTAAGTACTAATATTGATGTAGTGTTATGTAAGTACTCTGATTGATGTAGTGTTATGTAAGTACTCTGATTGATGTCGTGTTATTTAAGTACTAATATTGATGTAGTGTTATGTAAGTACTAATATTGATGTAGTGTTATGTAAGTACTCTGATTGATGTCGTGTTATGTAAGTATTCTTATTGATGTCGTGTTATGTAAGTACTCTTATTGATGTAGTGTGATGTAGTCATTATCTATGCGATAATAAACCCAGGTCTGGTAATGAACTTTTGTGTACAGTTGTATCTATAATTGTTCAATAAATAGACATTTTCTTGTCTTGTTACCAAGATCGTCACTTTTACGGTTTTATGGGTTTCAGTTTTAAATGGTAGGTTTTGGCTTCTTGTAGCCTAAGGGGTGAGGCCCAAGAAGGTAAATTCAATTAAGTCTTTGAAGTCTTTTCTTCTGTCAGGATGAAGGGATTTCCACTCATATATTTTGACCTAGAGCACCCTTGAATGCTCAGTTTTGTATAAACAGTATCTCTGACCCCTTTGGAGCAGAGGGTCAGAGATGCAGGGACCAATAGGTGAAGTAGAGATAAATCTTTAAAATCTTATTCCTGCTGGGATGAAGGGATTTGGACCAAATTTTGTCTGGAGCATCCTTTGGTGAGAGGGTCTGTATCAGTTTTGTATTAACAGTATGTCTTGCACTTCTAGGGCCTCTGAGGTAGGTTCCAATATGTGAAATTCAGTAAATCTTTTAAATTCTTTCAGATCTGTTGGGATGAAGGGATTTCACTCAGATTTTTCCTGAAGCTTAGGATAGAGAGAATCTGATTTTGTTAGTTGTTTGACCCTCTTAGGTTCAGAGGTCAGCAATATAGAAAATTGATGTAAATCTTCGCTGTCATTCTTCTTTATTTTAGATAAGGCAATTTTGACCAAACCAGATGAGTGATACAGGCCCTTTGGGCCTGTTGTTGTTAGTTAATATCCAAAGTAAATTCCATATCTGACACCTGTCATCAAGTGATTGTCAGTGTACTGCTGGATGTTTCAACCCTGAACCACGACATCCTCCTCTTGATTGGTCGGTAGTGATGACCAAACCACCAATCAGTGAACTCTAAATTCCAACATTTGTTTTTTCTGATAATTCAGCATTAAAGTTATGAGGCGGTGTTGATATGTTATTAAAAGAAGTTGCAAATTTCTCAGTAGAATTCCTCCAGCAGTAAAAAGGGAAAAACAGACTACTATCAGTCTAATAGAAAAACTGACTTTGTAGCCATCGAAAAGCAAAAGTGAACTTTTCAACACAAATGTTCCCTGTTCTTTATAATGAATCCAGAATGAAAACTGTAGTTGTATTATCAATTTAAATTATTCCAGTATTAAACACTAATTAATGTTAATTTAGTCTAACATCTGTTTTGCAGGTGATTATAAACTTATCAAAACCCGGTGAGGATAACACCAAGAAGGTAAGGCTAATTCTGATGATTTGGTTTCTGTTTAATAACTCTCTTTAAATGATTTTGTTTCAAAAGCTTAATTTTGTTAGATTCATAAAAACTCAAAATTATTAGATTTTTTTTCATAAACATTTGATTGATGATTTGATTTCTGCAAAAAAATTGTCAAACAAAAAAATAAGTGAATCATTCAAGATTAGTATGGAAATGTGCAATGACTGGAAATGCACTAAACATAGGTCTAAACAACTTCTCAAAACTGAAATTTTAACAACACAATTTTAGCTCAATTGCCAGAAAAGCAGGTGTGAGCATATACATTTATTTATTGTTGTAAACATCAGTCTAATTGAAGGTGGGTTGCTGTGTAAATACAGTTGATATTCAATCTATTTTACAGGTTCTTTTTAACTCTCATGAATTCCAAGGGTCGGCAAAAAGCTCAAAGAAAAAGGCCAAGAAAGATGCAGCAAAAATGTGTATAATGGAACTAAGACGTGCTGGTTACATTATCCCATAATACAGCAGACCATTTGATGATAAAGTTGTGTCTTTCAGAACTAGGACATACTGGTTACATTTCCCAAAACACAGCAGACCATTTGATGATGAAGTTGTGTCTTTCAGAACTAGGACATACTGGTTACATTTCCCATAACACAGCAAACCATTTGATGATGAAGTTGTGTCTTTCAGAACTAGGACATACTGGTTACATTTCCCAAAACACAGCAGACCATTTGATGATGAAGTTGTGTCTTTCAGAACTAGGACATACTGGTTACATTTCCCATAACACAGCAAACCATTTGATGATGAAGTTGTGTCTTTCAGAACTAGGACATACTGGTTACATTATCCCATTATACAGCAGACCATTTGATGATGAAGTTGTGTCTTTCAGAACTAGGACATACTGGTTACATTTCCCATATGTTTGGAATGCAAAAGTAAAACAACATATGTCTAGTTAAATGGTAAGGTGTGGAGACATAAATATATCATTTGATATTTTAAAACACAGAAAATAGCATTGTGTATAAAAGGAATCCATTGTGTATAAATGACAATCTTTTAATAAAAATTACAGTTGTACTGTAGAAGATAAATTGTTTCATTATTAGCATATTAATGAAAATAGAGTACTTACTGTCTTTATTTTTAGTACAATGTTGTCTTAATCGATTAATCAATCTTAATGCCCACAATTGTATGATCTTTATTAGTTTGCTGTTTTCTCTTCTATCCTCATATTTCATCTGAACACTTATCATGGGCAATAAGATACAAAAAAAACCTTCATATGTTAACAAAGATCATTCCAGTACAGAAATGGTGAAAAACTGTTGCTTTCAAAATCCAAGATGGCACCCTTTCAGCCATTTTGTTATTTTCAAAACAAGAAAAAAAGAACTATAGGCTTTGAACAAAAGCAAATCATAGTAAAATCAAAACAGGAAGTTCAAACCAAAAGGCAAGAATCCAGTCAGAATACAGACAGACCTAAAGAGACAAGGACTCTACAGGAACAGAGGAGACACTATAGCAAAAGACAAGGACTCAACAGGAACAGAGGAGACATAGAAAGAGACAAGGACTCAACAGGAACAGAGGAGACATAGCAAAAGACAAGGACTCAACAGGAACAGAGGAGACACTATAGCAAAAGACAAGGACTCAACAGGAACAGAGGAGACACTATAGCAAAATGTAAGGACTCAACAGGAACAGAGGAGACACTATAGCAAACGACAAGGACTCTACAGAAACAGAGGAGACACTATAGCAAAAGACAAGGACTCAACAGGAACAGAGGAGACACTATAGCAAGAGACAAGGACTCAACAGGAACAGAGGAGACATAGAAAGAGACAAGGACTCAACAGGAACAGAGGAGACATAGCAAAATGCAAGGACTCAACAGAAACAGAGGAGACATTAAAGCAAAAGACAATGAATCAACAGGAACAGAGGAGACATAGAAAGAGACAAGGACTCAACAGGAACAGAGGAGACACTATAGCAAAAGACAAGGAATCAACAGGAACAGAGGAGACATAGCAAAAGACAAGGACTCAACAGGAACAGAGGAGACACTATAGCAAAAGACAAGGAATCAACAGGAACAGAGGAGACACTATAGCAAAAGACAAGGACTCAACAGGAACAGAGGAGACACTAAAGCAAAAGACAAGGAATCAACAGGAACAGAGGAGACACTATAGCAAAAGACAAGGACTCAACAGGAACAGAGGAGACACTATAGCAAAAGACAAGGACTCAACAGAAACAGAGGAGACATAGCAAAAGACAAGGACTCAACAGGAACAGAGGAGACACTAAAGCAAAAGACAAGGAATCAACAGGAACAGAGGAGACACTATAGCAAAAGACAAGGAATCAACAGGAACAGAGGAGACACTATAGCAAAAGACAAGGACTCAACAGGAACAGAGGAGACACTATAGCAAAAGACAAGGACTCAACAGGAACAGAGGAGACACTATAGCAAAAGACAAGGAATCAACAGGAACAGAGGAGACACTATAGCAAAAGACAAGGAATCAACAGGAACAGAGGAGACACTATAGCAAAAGACAAGGAATCAACAGGAACAGAGGAGACACTATAGCAAAAGACAAGGACTCAACAGGAACAGAGGAGACACTATAGCAAAAGACAAGGACTCAACAGGAACAGAGGAGACATAGCAAAAGACAAGGACTCAACAGGAACAGAGGAGACACTAAAGCAAAAGACAAGGAATCAACAGGAACAGAGGAGACACTATAGCAAAAGACAAGGAATCAACAGGAACAGAGGAGACACTATAGCAAAAGACAAGGACTCAACAGGAACAGAGGAGACACTATAGCAAAAGACATGGACTCAACAGGAACAGAGGAGACACTATAGCAAAAGACAAGGACTCAACAGGAACAGAGGAGACATAGCAAAAGACAAGGACTCAACAGGAACAGAGGAGACACTAAAGCAAAAGACAAGGAATCAACAGGAACAGAGGAGACACTATAGCAAAAGACAAGGAATCAACAGGAACAGAGGAGACACTATAGCAAAAGACAAGGACTCAACAGGAACAGAGGAGACATAGCAAAAGACAAGGACTCAACAGGAACAGAGGAGACACTAAAGCAAAAGACAAGGAATCAACAGGAACAGAGGAGACACTATAGCAAAAGACAAGGACTCTACAGGAACAGAGGAGACACTATAGCAAAAGACAAGGACTCAACATGAAGAGAGGAGATGCCAAGAAGAATCATGGGGAAAGGAGAGGATGACAAATCACTCAAAAAGAACAAAAGAGGCACCAATATGAAAAAGAAGAAATCACCAAAACAAAAGGAATTGAGATTGGAATAGATGCTAAAATGGAAAGAACAGGAAAAAGGGAAGGTATCAATACAAAGGGAAGACAGCAACATTAAAATTCCAAATTAGAACAGGAATTGAGGGGACACTTAGATATAAGTAACCTTATCCAAAGTAGTAGGACAGTGAAAAAACATATTTACAAAAATCAGGCTTTTTACCACTGACATTGGTAGCAATATTGATACTCGTCCTCCTTCCTACCAAAGCCACAATCTAAGAAAACTGTAGCTACACAGGAAGACATGAAGGAAAGTCGCAATTTTACACCTGCTTATATCAGACAAAGAACAGGAGTGTGTTAAAGGGACATTCTTCACCAGGTGTGCATTTCTAGATATTCTGTACCAGAACTCTTTCTGCTTACTTCTTGAAGTATCTTCAGCATATAGATATCTTTCCTCTGGCCAGTTTAGACCAAGTTTGTGGAAATCCCATTGACCATTTCAGAATTAGGCAGTCAAAATATAGCACATTTATCACGTGTCTATTTTGGAACTGAAGCATTCAAAACCCAGGATTTATTTCAACAATGAAAACAAAAACGAAAATGTCTAATGAGAGTTCATTTTAATGCATAGATTCAAGCAAAGATTAACTTATATAAAGGATGCTATCATCGCAGAAATCAAAGTTTGTACTATTGGAACGGACATATATGACATTAAATATACTTCTAGGATTAAATAGACTGAACAATATCATCAGCTACCAATAATTTTGTAAATGACGCAAAGAGCTTTGTTAATGTATTGACCCATTGTATAATATCTTCAAAAAGGTAGTTCAAACGTTTTATGAAAAAGATGAAAATTCCACACCTATAGACTTTAGAGAGCTCAACACCAATGCTGAAAATATGTCTTACAGCTTCAAGTCTTGGAAATTACCACCACAGAAATTATGTGAAAATCTTTGAATGGATAAACTTTATATATGCATCTACTGGCAAATTATACACAAATTTATTGTTCTTGGAGTGAATTAGGGTTATGTTTCCTTTGATCTTTTCAGTTTGACTTGAATCTAATATATGGCTGTATGTATGTATTATTCTTTTCATGTCCATGCAGTCCCCAGACAGCCACAGGTATGTGTTATAGATAATGGCCATATACACACTCAATTAAAGTACAAAAACAACAATGGATGACATCACAGTTAGACTTTGAGCTGCACAATGCACACCAAATGAAGTATCCATTTTTGTCCATTTTTGTAAAATACACATGTGTAAATGTGCTGTGACATAGTTAGGACCAAAGGTAAATCAAACTAACTAAATCTATATTTAGATTTTTTACATGATGAATATTGTAAGTGTGTGTGTGTTGACTAAGGCATACAATTTCCATATGATCATTGGTAGATACGCAAGAACAGTGTTATTTAAATAGTATACAGAATCCTAATTATTCCAGAGTATTTTTTTCAAAATAGATTGAATTCTTGCCAATCTTGATATCCAAGAAAACAAATCATTATATCAGAATGTGACATTTAAAGTCCAGACAAAAATACTTTCTTCTCTTTAATTTTCTTCAAACCATATGATAGTAGTATGATAACTACTGGGGCTCGTTTCCATTGATGACCAGACTAATATTTACGTCCAGCATCAGTGATCTGTATATAACTATGTATTCTCTGTTTATACTGTTAATAAACACAAGCCCCTCAACTCTGATAAATAAATGTGTGAGGTTTGGGATGTGATTCTCCAATGACACGAGCTTTGACAACTGATACTTTACTTACAATATTCATGCTGATTGAACGAAAAAGCTTGTACTCAATATATATAGATATATATGCTGTTTCTTCGACCGATCCAACACTAATTGAAGTCCTGCGCTGTGAGAGTCAAATCACATGAGCTACCTGCGGCGGGTATCCCATAAAATGTTGTTAAACGTCATAGTAGAGGATATATGTAATTTGACCTAAATAAGGGACAATCTTCTTTAAATACTTTAAGCTTTAAGAGTAACGATTATTTTGTTTCCTTTTTGTTCCATATTGCTCTGTCCCGATATTTTGTATATGCTACTGGAATGAATTCTTTATGTGACGTGAACTTCGACTTGATCGTCAGGTACTTATCATTCGATACGCTTCGGTGGTGTTCATGTATTTCTAACGGTATTCGTCTCTTTCGATGGTGTTCCACATTCATCCAGCCTCCGCCAACACGAACCATGACGGCCTCTCGCTTTGGTAAATGCTGTAACAAAATGGACACGGTGTTAAAGTTATGACGTACAGGCCTCTACATTGTTACAGATGGGAATATTTATCAACCAGAACTTTTGTTTTAAATGCAGACGCAACACTCCGACAGAATCATTTCAAATACCGGACGCAACACACAAAAAAAGTTTACGTTTTATCGGGCCTGCGATGAAAAGCCGCGAAAACGAGACTGTTACCAAAACAATGAAAATTGAAGTTGACCAAAAGTGGTGAACTTATTTTGAAGTTACGATTTAAATTACCCTTATTTCTAATCCATGTCTCAACACCGATGGTTAGTTCAAGGGGGTCGCACGTTCGACCCCAGCTATTGATAACATGATTCCATGCTCTTTTGTTTATTTTATTTACACAAAATACATTTATATCGCACGCCGGGTTTGTCCCGTGAACAGTCACAGTCATTTTTAGGCGAGGACTCCTATTAGCACAACCAACACAGCATACACCTGTGAAAGAAAAACCGTCACGGGCAGGTAGCTTTAGAAGTCCACCCAAGGTTACTTTATTGTTAGAACACGTATTCAATATTACTATGACAATTACTTAATTTTTATTTTTTGTTTTCCTTACTTTGATTGTAGAATATCAATGTATTGCTTTAACTCACCTTTAAAGGAAACATGGGGCGTGGTGGAATCGGTTTATGCTTGTACGGAGGAGGTATTTCCGGTTCCGGTTTGTACATGATAAGTTCTCGTTCGCGATGAACAGTATCTCGAATATGGAGTGGATGGTCCCCTTCACCATCAACAAATGGACCATCGGCAGGATCAATATCCGCCAGTATAGCAGTCTTGAAATTGTCTAGTTTCGGTTTCTCGCCTATGTATTTTGGCATTTTGGATATTTTCTTCTGTGGTCTCTCTGTCGGTGACTTAGGCGGTTTTGGAAGAAAGACAACCGGCGTAGTTTCAGTGGGATTCGGTTCGATTTCTAGTTCAATTTTTTCACGTAGAAATATCTTGCGTGTACTTGTTATTTTGTTTTTGTTTGTGTCCGGTGGGGTGGTGTCAGTGGAGTCGTTGCTCGAATGAACAGAGGTGAGATTTTCTGTGGAGTCTGATAAATCTGAAGAGCCATTTGTCGAGTATTCCTCGTAACTCTTGGGATTCGATCGGACTTGTTTAGCAACTATAGTTTTGGTTTCTATCTTTGGTGGAGATACTGGTATCACAGCAGGGGGTTTACGGCGGGGTGTCGCCCATCGTTTATCATCATCGTCGTCATCCTCATCATCGTCGTCATCCTCATCATCGTCGTCATCCTCATCATCATCGTCATCTTCATCGATGATAATGATTTTATCATTTAATTTGTCACCCATCAGTTGTTTGTCCTCTTCCGTACTCAATGTGTCTGTATCTGAATCTTTTTCATCATTGGAGGAATCATGACATCGGCACGTGACCACGGTTGTCTTCCAGCAGCATGACGTCACCACGATGTCTACACAACCACAACAACACGTGTCAACAACGGTATCAACAGATTCTTCGTCGTCTGTTGATTGGTTTTCCTCAGACACCTGTTCAGGTCTCGGAGACGAGTAGACCACGCCACTTGTCTTGCGCCTGTATCTATATCTCTGAGGTTGCCATGGAATGTTGCTGCCATTCCTGTCGACCGACTCAATAAAATCTCGTCGGGCGCCATCAGGTTGCCAAAGGTGACGTGCTCGCCAACCATAATTACGCATATCATCTGAATCACTGCTGTGTCCTGGGTACGTTTTCACATAGGTGTTCCGACCGTAAAGAGGCTCAACGGGCGTATAGCTGTATCGGGCACGAGCATTTCTGTAAGAAACTTCACGTGAATATCCATCCGTGCTATATCCATAATGAGTACTCCCGGTACTGTTTAGATCAGAAAAATTCCAACCAACCCTCTTCTGTCGTCGACGTCCATCACGATGTCCTGAGGATACAGAGTACCTGTAGCTGGGGCGAGACAGGTAGCTGGGATAGACACTTGTTTGCGAAGGCAAGTAATACTCCTGTACCATGTCTCATACTCCAGACTCATAAAACAAAAAAATGCGGAAAATCTCTGACCTCTTCACATTGATACCCCCGTAGAACAACAAAACTTCCACTTCAAATCTCACTATGGTACGGTTAACGTACCTCCTTTTTGTTAATTCCTGGCTCTTCTCTGCAGAATCTTCAAGAATTATTCTTGAATGTCGTATGGTTGTCAAAACTGAAATATTTGACCTAATTCGAAAGAAGTATAAAGCGTTCAAGTTCGAATGTGGTTTGTTTTGAAGTATAGCCAATGTCAACGTGATCCACTGGTAGTGTACAAAGCTATCTGTGTTTCGAATCGTGTGTTACCAAGAACTGTGTATTCATCCCTTTTGTTATTCAGATCAGCGATCGTTTGTCTTACATGTAAATGTGATCAAGTCTATATCTATATATATATATATATGTATACACTACTTGTTCCAGCTAGCTATATCGGCAGCAGTTATTGTATACACATACAAAATGCATTTTTTTAATCCTAAGAAGTTCTAATATTATATATAGTCACTCGGTGTAACACACTAGTAAACACTGTGGGCTGTAGTTAAGGAAACAATATGATACAGGTATAAAGTGTTTCTATTCCATTAAATTAGTTTTATATGAAATTAATCTTGAAATTATTCTATACTGTAAATTTCACACACTCAGGTACTTTGATTGTTGGGTACGTCAAGGTCATAGTTTACTGTACTGACTGTCTCTCATTATATAAAAGAAATAAACCCTTGTGGTTGATGCAACACAACTCTTTTGCATTGAAAAAGAAACATAATAGTTATCCCAAAAGGATCTTAAAGCTCGCCATTGTCTGGTCATTATTTGTTCTTTAAAACGTGGATCTTTTCCCTTCTTTTCTAATATTTCTTCCGTTCTCGCTCTGAATTACATGAAATCTGAGAATTTGTGTGAGAAATAGCGGTGATAATATTTAACCGATGGTGGTCACCTGTCGGATTTTTTTTCTTAATCAGTACCAAAATCAAAAGAGCCCAACTAGAGACAAAGCGGAAAATTAAGAAAGACCCATCTTATACTTCAGAAGAAATAGCGACAACAAGGACGTATAGCTTACCAACTGATGATGGTGGGCTTAAAATAAAAAAAAAACAACTTCATGTGTACATCATGTTTTTATTATCGGTATAATGTAATCATTATGAAATTGGGTACAGTTCTGATTTCAGCGAGGTATTTTTTCTTCTAATTATAACTTTTATTAACATTATATCACACATTAAGTATACAGCGATAACGCGTATTGTGATTGAGGAAAGCTGTGAAAAGAAATTTTCTGGAAATTTCATTGTTGGGAAAATCTGATATAGATATAGACAAACAATAACTAATAATTTATGGGGGCGGGGTTTAACTCCTGTTTGAAATACGTTAAAATACAAAACCTTGATTAAATATTACAAATTCCATTATACATAAAAGCATATTATGCAGGTACAGTGTATGTAGACATACATCTATATACGTAAGACACGTCGAAATGAATGATAACATGTAACTATTGAGGAGCAAGAAGTACATTTTCTCCAAAAAAAAAAAAAAAAAAGGTAATTTTTCAGCTTGTTTCATTTCTCATGAACAGTAAAGTACATTGAGGCTTTTTTATTTGGGAGCGGGGAGGGGGGAGTTGAAAACTCTCCAATCACTTAATACATCTTTTGAGGGGATGGGGGTTATCCGGGACAAATGGAGATGTGTATTATTTCAATATTATTATTTTCATAATTAATTCAGATTGACTTTATCAACACTAGATATACTTACGATATAATGTACATGTTATCGTATAAAAGATGCAGAAGTGAATATATTGTAGCACCTTTCCATACAAATTCAGAATAACGAAATCTTTTAAGTCAGATAGCAAAGCGTTTGAATTATCCGGAATCCGGATTAACGAGTTCAGTTGTATAAGTTTCCATTGAAGAAGACTAAAACTATTGATTAAGTAGAGTGTATTTCTGCTGCCACTAAACTACTTGCGTCGGAGATATAACATAATGTCTACATTTGATTATCACAGAAAATTCATCACAATAAAATGCCTACATGATACAGAATATATTATGTGTATATTTGTTTAAAAGGCCTTTCAAATCCTGATGTTTCACTCGCTAAATGATCAAAGATGCAGAATCACGAAACAGTATTGGTCTTTGAAGTCTAGAATGTAATTTTTGTTTGAAAATTATATATTTTAAAATAATAAACTTTGAGTAAAACAAACATTTTACTTTAAATTGTGACCCAAGGGAAATATCTGAATGACTTTGTTTTCTTTTCTTGTTTTCGTCATCTTTGGCTAGAAACCAACATGTGTATTTATTGATACCAGTTTATCTGTCTACTGTATAATAACACATGTATTCCACATTTAATAAATTAAACGAATATGTTCATACTGTACAACGGCTGGACTGTTTCGTGTTCCTGAAATTAGGAAATTAAGCATGACTTGCTGGAGGTTTTCGTATCAAGCTGATAAAAAAACAATATATCCTTTTACAGAGTAAACGCTGTACAGTTCAGCAAGTCTGTTCAATATTTTCTGTTTACAAGTCATACTGTCGTAATGAGCACGATCATTTCTGCTTATTCCTCGTTGTCATCTTTTCATGACGTAATGTTGCATTGTCATGCTACGCCTGCTTCCGGTTAGCATGAGCTGACAGTTTATATATATATATATCGTTCCATAATTATTTTACTTAGAACTGCTTCCGTGGAATTAAAATGAAGGTTACTGCTTTATGACCAATGTATTCCCGGACCCGATCCTAATAAGCGCGTATTTATTGAAATTTATCCTGTTCCTCCGTCTTCCTCCCTATTGTACTTTCGGTTCCATCACTCTTTTCTTTGTTTATACTGAACAGACAATTCAATAGAGTCGGAACGGTTTCATTCATCTGTGCACAACATCCGGGTCCTTATAAATCTGGACGTACTTCGGTTCCGTCAACTCATTATCTATGTTAATTTAACCGACGGGTCCCAAGGGTCTCGGACAATCTCCTCTCTGTACTTCCGATATGCGATAGGTACGTATTTCTGTTTCGTTGCGAAGCGCGATTTGATGAAGAGAAACTTGTCCCGGTTTGCGTCACGATTGTGCTCATAGACCTTAAGGGGGATGTGATGGTTACGATGGTGTTCCACCTTCATCCAGCCTCCTCCCACGCGCACCATCATCGATTTCCCTTTCGGAACAGACTGAAAGTTGGAAGAGAGATTGCATGTTATATTGTTTTCGAGAAAAATTGTAATAATACCATTAGATGTAAACCGAGGTGGATATACATTGTAATAATACCATTATATGTAAACCGAGGTGGATATACATTGTAATAATACCATTATATGTAAACCTAGGTGGATATACATTGTAATAATACCATTATATGTAAACCGAGGTGGATGTAAATTATTTCTATTATTATTATCGTGAACCAAGCCCCTGTGCTCTGAATTTGGTACACAGATGGCATATAAGATATATGTATATAAAGTACATCTTAAGATTATACCTATTTCGTGTCTATACAAATTCAGAAGTAGATTTAAAGTAAGTCGGGATCACGCGGAAATACTTACGTTGACTTTGTACAGTGCTGTGGCAGATTTCGTGAAGACCTGCAAAATCATTTAAATGTAGTGAGTAAATTGGTGTCTTAAATTCAGTACATGTGGAGAATTTACAGCCGTTTGTAGTTCAAGGCGCGGACTTGTGGTGGGTGTAGTTACTCATCGTGAAAAACCTTCATATGTACACGTTAAGCTTCCCACTCTCTCAGCTTATTTAGCCTTGTACAGCATTACACTACAGCTGATCTGTGCCTAAACATTATCAATTTGTTTTCAAATTCAAAGTTTTATTATTCGAAAATTCTATTAGACGTGGAGTGACTATTTGAATGTATACACCTCTCATACATAAAACCCCTTATACTTCAGAGTCGTGTACAATTTACATATCCATATATACATTGTACACACACTGCTGAAGTATTTGAATAGTTGAACCTAGAGTTCGATGTCTCTGTGGTGTATCATAGAGACGCAAAGATTCTATGTTCTTTGAAAACCTAAAAATATTTAATTGTTGCTCGGCAAATATAGCCATGCAGGGTTTTTAAAACAGAATGAGAAGAAATCTAATGTGTGAACACTGAGCGCACTCTGAAAATCGAGAAGTATGTTAGAGGAGGGAGTTATCTTTTACATGAATAAAATTTATTTTAAGCATGTTTTATAAATATGAGAAATTTGTTTTACTTAACAACTTACATACATGACAATCTCTCCCCCCCCTCTCTCTCGCTCTCTCTCTCCCCCCACCCCCTCCCCTGCCCCTCTTCTAAGTAACACATTTACAACATTACAGACAACCCTCTCCAAATCCCCGGATTATATGTATAACATAATAATCTGTCTTGATATAAATGGTTACAGACAACCCTCTCCAAATCCCCGGATTATATGTATAACATAATAATCTGTCTTGATATAAATGGTTGTGTTCGACTCGAGACTGATCACATACCTAACAAACGAAATCCATTTTTAATCATTATTAATAACAAAGTTATTGAAATTGTTCCCCACTGAAATCAGGTATACAGGTATGTACGTTTACATAGGACTTTCACACTGATGTTCTCGGGACAGGTTGACGTGACACGAAACCATTCCCATACACCCACTTACAAATAGCGAAAGGCTTTGAAGTCATTAGCTTGTCAGTAATTGATAATAAATATAGTCTACTACGGGCGTATTGTTGTGGATAAGATTTATTTTGTTAACAGTGAAATCAGTGTAGTAATCACTTTTTTCGTCTTTATTGGAATCAAAATGTCGGCAATTATTTAAAACGCTGAATGGATGAACATATTTAGTAAGGTTTCAGTAATGTAGGAATGACCTTGTTCAATAACTGTTAGGGAATTCATACAAGCATGTAGGAAATTATCACAGACGAACGTCAAACTGGAATTTTAATGTGTTTCAAATGACAGCATAAAAATATGTATATATAAAAAAAAACCCGCTATATTTGCATTTACTCCAGATGGCTTCAAGTACAATGACGACAAGCATTTGAAATCTAGAACATTCAGGTCAACGGTATATGATATAGCTGAGTCACTGTCTTTCACACAAAACTTAAGACGGTTGTTGCCCCTTATAAAGGGCCTTTGGCGTCCATCGGCCGAAGGATTAAAGAGACACCTTAATTTACACTACCGTTCTCATTTTCAGTTTATAACTCTGAATTTGTTTTATATTCTATGTATGTGATGTAAAATATGTAATATTTTGTGACTTATTTTGTGTCTCGATAAAGGGGCAGATTGCCTCGCAAAATTAACAATTCACTTCTCCATACCGTCGTTATTACTTCATTGATTATATATATATATATATTCGGAGACTTAAATAAGAATTAAATTTTCGATTCGTAATAGTATATGTACATGTACAATATATAATGCTTCCTTGTTTAAGTAACCGAGCCGTGTCCGTCACTGAAGGATTAAATTTTTGACCTATAAAATACACCTTGTTTACTAGTACGCACCTAACACGTGTTTATTACCTATATATTCTGGTGACTTTAAAACCCAATTAATTCCGCTGACAGTCCTCCCTTCTCAATTTAACTCTATTCAAGTTGAAACACGAACGTAAGTCTACACGACTTTTTACTTTGGTGTAAACTTAGAAGATATCCTCGGATCATCTATTGTAACAGTGACATTTGAAATCGTCCTATCGACGGCAAACCCACGATATTGAACTAAAAATACCATACACACTCATACACACACTTTTTTTTAAATTCTTCATACCCGTATCAATTGATTTTTACTTTCTCTACTCGTTCACTTGCACTTTTTTCCACTAAATTTGTGTTAGAGAAGTGACAACCAGCAGTCTACCATGCAGTGTACAATGGATACTCTGTTTCACGCCCCACCCTCTGTTGGTAAGATTCTGATTTACAAAAATTTGGCGTAAGTTTCAAACAATGCACAAGGAATGCCCGCACAAGGTCTTATAAATGAATCATTTGTTATTCATTAATCAGAGAATTCTTGTTTGTTAGATTTTCTTGTCAAAACACGCCGCCTCAGTGGCACAGGCAAATTTACAACTAAAACCAAGAAGGCGATATTCATTTCATCTTGTACAGAACTCATAATTTTTAAGCGTGAATTTGAATAATACAGCTTCGTTTTTATAGTTGTAATGTTTGAAAATATGAAACGCCAAACCGCCCAATTCAATTAAAAAATTTTAAGCAGCCTAACTGCATATTGCTTAACGACCCTAATTACTGTACCGCTATGGGCATTTCCTCTGACCTATTTTCCTCGTATTACTGTCCAAATGAACAAACATATTAAACGAGTGGACTAGATAGTTTCTTATCTACTACATATATATGTATCAATAAGTAGTTATATATCTGTACATTCCTTAAACCTGTGTTTACGTACATTGTAATTAAAGTCACTATTTTCTCACGTGATTAACTTTTTCCATGTGCATATAACCACAATTCTTAACCTTGTACATCAGTATATAAATGAACTTTTTTTTCTATGCGGTATCGGTGTCCAGGGTGACAAGTTTCCGCTTAATTGCACCATTTCTTTAACAGAAATTTTCCATCAACGACTTAAAATTTATGATTTCGGTAAATAAAGAGACCTATGTATTTCCGATATGTCGACGAATTCCATTAGATAGAGGAGTACACATTACATAATTAAATTTTCAAATTAATCGATACAGGCCCCCTTTGTGGAAACGAAAACGACGTAAATTGCTACAAGGACTACAGACCTTTATTAAATGGCTACAGACAGTTAGTTTGCGTTAAGTCAAAGAAATAATTAAAACAACCTACCCGTAATAATGCGTCATCTTTTTTCTGAAATACAATTTACAGAGTTGTATTACTAGGTGACGAGTATAAGCAGTATACATACATTGTATGTGTACGTAAAGGTAAAATGTCATATAATTCAATTCAATCAATCGATACAGGTATTTTTTTATCTGTATTGTATAATATGATGTAAACAAATTGTCGTATATTACAGGCAAGAAGTGTAAGTAAAATTTTATCAGAAGCATGAAAGATCTTATACAGGTATTATAATATACGATCCATGAACATTTCATACGACATGGGTAAACTCTCAAAGGGAACATGAATATTATAGACTAATTTTAATGATGCATGTGAAAAAAAAACTGGGACGGACACTAGTGAAACTCCCCCCTTTTAATCAATAAGATATTTCTCTTTATTTCACTGTCAGAAATGTATTAAATTATGTATTTCTATTTGTGAGTGTGTATTTCGTCAGAGACAGAAACAAAATGTATTGTAATCAACACGCCTACAAGTAGATGCTTGATAACCGTCATGGCTTCCAGCCTAACAAAGAGTTTGCTAGTGGACAATTTATGGATCGCAATCCGACTAATCTCGCACACATCGCCAGTTTATATCTACCGAGAACATCCAGTAATGGTAGTAAAATCGATTTCTAAACAGGTCTGTCTACAATTAACTGGCAATGACGACATATACAGTAGACTACCTGTGGTTTGATGGTAAATGGGCTCTACAGCTAAGATGTGACAGAGAGAACACACGTATACACAAACAGAAAGTATGATCGGCGGATGAGGGTTAGTGAAAGACACATTCTCCTTCATATAAGACATCACGACAAAGCATCAAATGGTATCGGCATATCACGACATACCATAAAACGGTATCGGTATATCACGACATACCATAAAACGATGTTGGTATATCACGACATACCATAAAACGATGTTCTGATATCGCGACACAGCATTTAACGATGTTGTGATATCACGACACAGCATTTAACGATGCTGTGATATCACCAAACAGTATTGGCATATCACGACATATACCATAAAACGATATTGGTATGTCACGACACAACATAAAATGAGGTTGAGATATCACGACACAGCATTAAACGGTATCGGCACAATATAAAACATTATTACGACACGACTAATATGGATATCGCGTAAAAACAACAGGATACCGGAATATCACGACGGCACATCATGACATAATTGCGGTGTATCATGACACAGCATCGCACGGTATCGGGCCGGAAATTTGTACTACAGAGCATTAGAAAAATCCCGATATCACGACATTTACCGGACATCACGATACCCGCTAATGTTAGTCAGGCACAGCAATGTGTTTCAATGTTGTCTTATATTTGGAGGAAATATATTGTGTCATTATTAAAAGAATGAGAAAACATTAAAAACAAACATAAACTAGAATAACACCCAGTATCTTATCCAAATGATCTTTAAGCTTATTTTCGCTCAAAAAATATTTTGGATAAGGTTCTGAAGCCAAGCAGTGACGAATCTAAAGAAACTTCTGGAAACCAGTCAACCGTCAACCCCCTTTCTCCTCCACTTCCTCCCCAACCAAGTTTATACATTTACCAATTTAAAATTCACAGTTTTCATCCCAGACAGGTTTCTAAATTTGCCACTGCTAGGTAACACAACATAGGATCATAGTGAGTAAACAGTAAATAGACAGTGACAGGTAACTGTAGAGAAGGCCTTCGTAATCGTCATAATTAGAACAAGGATAGGTATAAACCACGAGGACTATTTTACAATAAAGATGAATTTGTCAAGACGTAAACCTATAGAAGTTTGTTTATTTGTATCTTTATCAAATGCATTAATCTATTGAATTAAAGCTATTTCTACAATCACGTTATCAAATTTTAATTTCCATACTGCTTTCGTCTGTTTGTGGTATTTACAAAGGACTTTAAATTTAAATACTGGTTCCAAAATTGAAATTCAAATTACAATAATATATCTCCATGATTTAATATATATGTTTTGACAAATGTATCAGTATCGACAAAGGCAAACTCTACAAACATGTTATTAGAAAATACCTTCTTGTTAACAGGAATTTCAGGACATGATTTTACAGGACGAAGACCGTGAGAGGTTTCCACTACATTCTTAACTTCCGGTTCCGGTTCTGGTTCCGGATCCAGACGATGTTCAGGTTTTATGATGTTATAGACAATAGGAGGCGGAGTTCCACCTCTAGAATAAAGAGATTTCGTAGGAACAGAATAGTAAACAGGATCCACCACATTGAGTATTTCCGGTTCTTGTTTTGATTTCGGTTTCTTCCGATTCTTTCTCGGCCGAGACAGACATTTGGAATTACGAGATTTTGTAGGATGAGTTAAGTTTGGCCGTTCCAAAATGTGATCTGGTTTAAGTTCCCAGTTTTTTAAGTATTCATATCTTGCCTTTGGTGCGTTAGTTGAAAAAGGATAATAATCAGTATTCGTAACGGTGCCAGCATCCGGTTTCGCTTTGTTAAAAGGAGGTGAACATTTTGAATGAGAAGATTTAGTTGGAAGGATAGAGTAAACAGGATCCCCACTTTCATAAACTTCTGGTCTCTGAACTGGTTTCGGTTTCTCAGCAAGTGAAATTACAGGAAGTGGGGCTCCTTTGACAGGAAGTGGATTAACATTAACAGAAAAGTACAAAGGTTCAGAAGGAGAGCTAACATCCGGTTTTACGTAAAGTTCAGGTCTAGAAATACCATACATTACCGGTGGTGGTGGCGGAGGTGGTGTTTGTGGTGCTGGTATCTCAATCCTATGTGGTGGCTTTGTTAACACTAAAACCTCCTCTTGTGGTTCTATTTCCGGTTCCTCTATATTGATGACTGCCGTTTTATATCCACGAATTGGCGTCGGTTCATATGGCGAAAGAGGTTCAACTTCCGGTGATGGCGTCCTCTCTCGTATGCTAGGGGGTGGGGAGATCACCCTGGGACTTGGCACAGGGGTATGATCTCGACTTGGGACGGGGCTTGGGGCAGGGCTGGGGAAGGGGGAGGTATAGGATGATGTAGAGGGTGTAGAAGGAGGAGAAGGAATATGTACTGTTTGGCATGCCATGTTTCGTACAAGCTTCTTTTTCGGCTCTTCGACTATATACTTTGTGGTCATCTGAACACCCACGTGGCGTTGTGTTGGTTTTGACGTAGATGGAATCATAGGTGGTTTGCTGGATACGTGAATATCCCGCTCATACATAGGTGGACGAGGGGGGAGTGTAGGGGCCAGCTGTTCGCGATGAAGAGTCTGTACCGGTTGCACTTTCCTGACGTACCGCGCATGCTCCGCTGACCGCGGCCTAGACATAAGCCTGGAGGAACGTGCGACATTAGCATACTCGCGTGTACTATTTCCTAGGTCACGTGACACCACGCGTTTTTCGTATGTTGCTGAGCGCGGTCGAGGCACGAGTCTTCTTGTATCTATTTCGTCGTATGTATCTGACTCTGTCTCGTCAGTATACGAATCTGAATAATCCGACATCCGGTCATGTGTCCGATAAAATAAATACTGTTTATCTACCTTAGGCTGTTCCGTTTGTTTAACAGTCTCCTTCTGTGCCTCTTCCTCTTCTTCCGCAGAATCAAGACACGTACAACGGAGCATTTTGACACCAGTACAACAGTAAATGCTGTCCACGATTTCCACACAGCCACAACAACATGTCTCCACCTCTTTGTCTACCGTTTCAACCTTCGGCTTCGTCTCAACCGTCTCCCGGACGTAATACCGCTCGGGAGACGGGGAGACGCGCCGTCTTTCCGGGGAAGGTGACACGCGACGTCGTTCTGGAGACGCGATCACATGCCGTCTGTCCGAACTACGAACAATATTTCTGCTTTCCACAATACGTTTATCCGGATTCCGATTAACGACTCTGTCATGTGAAGTGTGGTTTACAACCCTTCGCTCCGGAACAGTCATGATCCTTCCAGCCCCGTAGGAATCTACTCTCCTCCTGTCCCTGTATCCCATGCTAGCACTCTGTCGACTACTCAGACCGTCTCTACGAAATCTTTCTAAGTTTACAGTACCAACACTCTCCACGTTTCCACCCTGCCTTCGTTCTGTCTCCAGTGGTCGTTCTATACGTCCGTATCCGAGTTCTCTGCCATACACTCTCTCACTTTCCGAAAAATCTAATTCCCCTCCTGTAACGTCACTTGGAGCCCCCCGCATTCTGGACTCGTAAAACACTAGTAAATAATCGATAAATCACTACACAACAGCTTAACCCGTGGTCAGTAACGGCATATTTCTCCATAGAAATCCAGACCAAAAAATCACCACATACACAACACTACTGCTCCATTATATCTGTGTTCGGGTAAATGTCAACGACAGGCTTTCCCTGATCCGTCAGGTATCATAACATCGTTCACGTGTTTGTGACCTTAGTTACCATCAACAAACTCAATACCTTAGAAGACCGACAGGTCAGCCTTAACACGTCACAGCGATCGTTGACCAACACTAAGCCGCTGGACAATGAGACCACGTAATTGTAATTCCCACCTGTAGTCAGATACAAAAAGACAGCTATTGTGACGACAGACGAGGAAATTACCTTATTGTTTATATTTTCCCATATAGACATGTGTTACACTACGGTACACTAAGTAAAACCCAAGATCTGTGAAATACCCAGTATCCAATGTTCAGTCTGACAAAATAAATACAAAACCGGTTTTCGTGTAGAAAATTCCGTTATGGATCTATAAGTTAAACATAAGAGTGTTTTCACTATACCTGACTGGTTTTACAGGTAACAGACAGGTACTATATCACCCCTACAGGTACGTCTTTATAAAAAAATACAATTACGGCGAAAGTGGTCATGTTACATCTAAGTACTGTGTAGACTACATTTTCACTGAAAGATATAATTGATGTGTACTATTTACAGAGGAGGGTCAATTAAAAAACGTGTGTGTGTCAATCTAATTGAAATTTGATTCGTTTTTCACTAATTTTACGTTGATGTATCAACGAGACATTATGGATATGTTACATGTCAAATTATAATTAGACAATTTAATTACAGCCTTGTAGTAATTCCCATTAAGTGTACAGATATGCACACGAAAACACATTCTTTTGAGAATAAAGGAGATAGCATCGACCAGCGCTTCTTTCACAAAATCGGGAGATTGCTGATGAAGAATTCGGAAATATACTGTTGGAATCGTTAGCATATCAACAACTTTACTTTTTTTCAAAATGAGGATTGATGTAAATACAAAACAATTGTTTATACACGCACGGAAAAAACAAACAGAACAAAAAAATAATAATCCAAGTATTTTTATCGCTAATTTCAAAAGTTATATTATGAATTATAAAAGTGGTAAAATTAGAATAGTTAAAAATTTAACTTTGCTTTCGTAACGCTCCAATGGTCAGCGGAAATTTTTCGGGTTTCGAACCTAGGCAACGAATACTGCCAAACGGTTTTGAGTCAATAGCAACTGCCCATGACGGCCAGCTATCCGTATAGTTTTGCTTCACCGTTACAGATTTATCGCTGAACATGGAGCTTTTTCAGAGATGACAGCCGTATTCGGTTGTACCGTCGGCCGGAAGTCAGCGTTGGGTGGGGCTGGGACTGGGGGGGGGGGAGGGGGCGGCTGGGTGGGTTGAGGATAAAATTGCAATGTATGGAAAGATCCTTTTAGTTATACTGGAAAGCAATTTAACCAGTGTGGATGAGGAGGGCATTACAGTGTACGGAGGGACCCCTTTGGGTTACACTGATAGGTAACTTAACCTGTGTGGATGAGGAGGACATTACAGTGTACGGAGGGACCCCTATGGTTATACTGGTAGGTAACTTAACCTGTGTGGATGAGGAGGACATTACAGTGTACGGAGGGACCCCTATGGTTATACTGGTAGGTAACTTAACCAGTGTGGATGAGGAGGGTATTACAGTGTACGTAGGGACCCCTTTAGTTACACTGTAGGTTACTTAACCTGTGTGGATGAGGAGGACATTACAGTGTACGGAGGGACCCCTATGGTTATACTGGTAGGTAATTTAACCTGTGTGGATGAGGAGGGCATTAGTGTACGGAGGGACCCCTATGGTTATACTGGTAGGTAACTTAACCTGTGTGGATGAGGAGGACATTACAGTGTACGGAGGGACCCCTATGATTATACTGGTAGGTAACTTAACCAGTGTGGATGAGGAGGGTATTACAGTGTACGTAGGGACCCCTTTAGTTACACTGATAGGTAACTTAACCTGTGTGGATGAGGAGGACATTACAGTGTACGGAGGGACCCCTATGATTATACTGGTAGGTAACATAACCTGTGTGGATGAGGAGGGTATTACAGTGTACGGAGGGACCCCTTTGGGTATACTGATAGGTTACTTAACCTGTGTGGATGAGGAGGACATTACAGTGTACGGAGGGACCCCTATGGTTATACTGGTAGGTAACTTAACCAGTGTGGATGAGGAGGGTATTACAGTGTACGTAGGGACCCCTTTAGTTACACTGTAGGTTACTTAACCTGTGTGGATGAGGAGGACATTACAGTGTACGAAGGGACCCCTTTGGTTACACTGGTAGGTAACTTAACCTGTGTGGATGAGGAGGGTAATTCAGTGTACGGAGGGACCCCTTTGGGTATACTGGAAAGCAACTTTACCAGTGAGCGCTACTGTGCGAAATCAGACGTCTTCTCGTTCTTCCTTTTTTCCTTAAGGGACAGTGCAGTATTATTTTTCCACAGAACATCTTATGACCTCATGCCTCAACGTACCTGCAATGTTGGATGTATTCTTCTTCTCAATCAGAACATAAAGAAAGATATATACTACTGAGTACCTCACTGAATGACACTAAGGGGAAGGGGGAGGGAGGGCAGCGTGTTTGTATATCAACAAACAGTAGAAAAGTGATTATCAGGTGAAAATACATGTAAGAACTAGGGTTACTTGAAATGCAAAACAGTGCAATATACTCTGTAAACTTCAGGGATAAAGGATATTGGTGTAAAGGTACACAAAGAAAGGAGGCTGTTTTGGTGCCACCTTCATCCTTACCGGTGTTACCTTCATCATTTACCGGTGTTACCTTCATCCTTACCGGTGTTACCTTCATCCTTTATCAGTGTTACCTTCATCCTTACTGGTGTTACCTTCATCCTTTATCAGTGTTACCTTCATACTTACCTGTGTTACCTTCATCCTTTATCAGTGTTACCTTCATCCTTACTGGTGTTACCTTCATCCTTTATCAGTGTTACCTTCATCCTTTACCGGTGTTACCTTCATCCTTCACTGGTGTTACCTTCATCCTTTATCATTGTTACCTTCATTCTTCACTGGTGTTACCTTCATCCTTCAATGGTGTTACCTTCATCCTTTATCAGTGTTACCTTCATTTTTTATCAGTGTTACCTTCATATTTCACTGGTGTTACCTTCATCCTTACTGGTGTTACCTTCATCCTTACTGGTGTTACCTTCATCCTTTATCAGTGATACCTTCATCCTTCACTGGTGTTACCTTCATCCTTTATCAGTGTTACCTTCATCCTTTATCAGTGTTACCTTCATTCTTCACTGGTGTTACCTCCATCCTTCACTGGTGTTACCTCCATACTTACTGGTGTTACCTTCATCCTTTATCAGTGATACCTTCATCCTTTACCTGTGTTACCTTCATCCTTTACCGGTGTTACCTTCATCCTTACCGGTGTTACCTTCATCCTTTATCAGTGTTACCTTCATCCTTTATCAGTGTTACCTTCATCCTTCACTGGTGTTACCTTCATCCTTTACCGGTGTTACCTCCATCCTTCACTGGTGTTACCTCCATACTTACTGGTGTTACCTTCATCCTTTATCGGTGATACCTTCATCCTTTACCGGTGTTACCTTCATCCTTACCGGTGTTACCTTCATCCTTTATCAGTGTTACCTTTATCCTTTATCAGTGTTACCTTTATCCTTTATCAGTGATACTTTCATCCTTTACCGGTGTTACCTTCATCCTTCAATGGTGTTACCTTCATCCTTACCGGTGTTACCTGCATCCTTACTGGTGTTACCTTCATCCTTTACCGGTGTTACCTTCATCCTTACCGGTGTTACCTTCATCCTTTATCAGTGTTACCTTCATCCTTTATCAGTGTTACCTTCATCCTTTACCGGTGTTACCTTCATCCTTCACTGGTGTTACCTTCATCCTTTACCGGTGTTACCTCCATCCTTCACTGGTGTTACCTCCATACTTACTGGTGTTACCTTCATCCTTTATCGGTGATACCTTCATCCTTTACCGGTGTTACCTTCATCCTTACCGGTGTTACCTTCATCCTTACTGGTGTTACCTTCATCCTTTATCAGTGTTACCTTCATCCTTTATCAGTGTTACCTTCATTCTTCACTGGTGTTACCTTCATCCTTCAATGGTGTTACCTTCATCCTTTATCAGTGTTACCTTCATTTTTTATCAGTGTTACCTTCATATTTCACTGGTGTTACCTTCATCCTTACTGGTGTTACCTTCATCCTTACTGGTGTTACCTTCATCCTTTATCAGTGATACCTTCATCCTTCACTGGTGTTACCTTCATCCTTTATCAGTGTTACCTTCATCCTTTATCAGTGTTACCTTCATTCTTCACTGGTGTTACCTCCATCCTTCACTGGTGTTACCTCCATACTTACTGGTGTTACCTTCATCCTTTATCAGTGATACCTTCATCCTTTACCTGTGTTACCTTCATCCTTTACCGGTGTTACCTTCATCCTTACCGGTGTTACCTTCATCCTTTATCAGTGTTACCTTCATCCTTTATCAGTGTTACCTTCATCCTTCACTGGTGTTACCTTCATCCTTTACCGGTGTTACCTCCATCCTTCACTGGTGTTACCTCCATACTTACTGGTGTTACCTTCATCCTTTATCGGTGATACCTTCATCCTTTACCGGTGTTACCTTCATCCTTACCGGTGTTACCTTCATCCTTTATCAGTGTTACCTTTATCCTTTATCAGTGTTACCTTTATCCTTTATCAGTGATACTTTCATCCTTTACCGGTGTTACCTTCATCCTTACCGGTGTTACCTTCATCCTTACCGGTGTTACCTGCATCCTTACTGGTGTTACCTTCATCCTTTACCGGTGTTACCTTCATCCTTACCGGTGTTACCTTCA